AATTGTATATGTTATCATAGCTATAGACCAGATAAACTCCAGTCTTTTCTGACATTTGAAGGTACTATATATATTTTAGTAAATACAAATAAGGCGATGTCAACGCACATCTATATATAATACTAGAACGATGATTATTATTAACTAAAGCAATGAATATAGATATTAAATGTTGATTGTTTTTCAGATTTACCTTTTTCCTATATTTTTTTATTATTATTATATCATCTATATCGTTATTTATTTATTTTTTTCTTTTTTATATTTCTTTTTCCGTCCGCTCATTTCACATCAACAAGAAAGAAAATATTATCCATGAATATTTAACAAATACTTATTATTCAGAAATCTGTTAGTACTATCTGTTTTTACGATGAGAAAATTTGTCAAAATTAAATAAAAATAAATTATTAAAAAAAATTCTTTTTTGTTCGTCCTGAGAGTATTTACCACTGATAGCAGTGACTAATCTCCTCGCTACGTTAGAGGCACCTCAAAAAGTGGGATAACTAGTCTCAAGATTTAACGCGACTGCATACACAAGACATGATTCGAATTCCTTGACCTTGTTTAAGTGTGAATTAACCTGTATCGCTGAACTACACGCTTGGGGTTAAATTATTAAAAATTAGTAAAATATAGGCTAAAACCCTATTTTGGTCCCTTATATTAATTGTTTGTTTCAATTTAGTCCCACTTTTATTTTTGGTTTCAATTTGGTCCCAAACTAATTAATTGGTCTCAATTTAGTTCCAAATTAATTAATTGGTTTCAACGTGGGACTTCCGTCCAAATTATTTAAACGGAGTTAACTTTTGGCCACGTGGATGCCACGTAGATGCATACGTGGATGCCACGTGGATGACAATTTTTTTGAAAACACCTGGATCCAGAACGGCCCGTTCTGAAACCAGAACGGGCCGTTCTGGTTGCACTTTTGGTGTGTTAATTTTGCAACTGAAACAGGCCGTTCCAGATGCAAAAATTAACACACCACCAGTGCCGCAGAAGGCAGAACGGGCCGTTCTGAAACCAGAACGAGCCGTTCTGGATTCAGAACGGACCGTTCCAAAACTGAGAATAATTGCACAATTTGGATATTTGAGAGATTAAAATTGTTCAATTAAAATTGTTCAATTAAAAATTGTGAGACTAAAATTAATCTCTCAAATATCATAATTGTGCAATTTTAGTCTTTCTCATTAAAAATTTAATAATTTTAAAATTTTAATATATATATATATAT